TAAATGAGGAAATTCCCCCTACTGATGAGGATCATCATCTTCTCCTGGAACTTAGCTCCCTAAGGCAATGAGAGGTTAAGTGACTAGCCTAGGGTCACATAGCCAAGATGTGTCAGAAATAAGACTTGAATCCAGGTCTTCCTGGCTCCAAGGCCAGCCCTCTATTCACTGTGTCAAAATACCTCCCATCAAGAATGATGACAATGATGATAATTGGTGGTATTTGGGGGGATCTGGAAGAAAATAAGTGTTTTTCTGAATCAGTTTAATTATTTTTAATTTGGCCTGGGTTCCTCTCTATGAAGTGCATATAGTTGTTTTAGAGCTCCTCTACTCAGTTTTCATCAAAGAGCTCCAAGTCTTAGCATAAGATGAAGTATGGTGGGAGTTGTGGTGCACAACTGTTTTCCATATTTGTTGTGAAAGCTCGCATTATGTAATGGTTTGCAAAGGGTTTCCTTCATAACCACCCTACTAGGAGGGTAGGGTAGGTTTAATAATTCCCATTTTATAGATGAGGGAACTATCAATCAATAAACATTTATTAAGCCCCTACTATATGCCAGGCACTGTGCTAGGTGCTAGGGATATAAAAAGAGGCAAAAGACAGTCCTTGCTCTGGAGGAGATTACAATCTAAAGCTCAGAGAGGTGAGATGACTTGTCCAAAAAAAATCACAACTAGAAAACAGCTGAGTTGGGATTCAAACCCAGGCCTCCTGGTTATTGCCCTGGTATTCTTTCTGTTATGTCACAAATGCCCAAGAAACAAAAGAGATCTCTAGTAGAAAAATACCAAAGATAAATTCTTCTCAATCACAATTTTGCCTAGGACCAGTTCTATACCTCTTATCTCTTCATTCCTTCAAAAATAATTTTTTAAAAAATCAATCCATCAATTAACAAACATTTATTGTTCACTCAGGCAGCTAGGCAGCACCATGGACAGAGTGATGGACCTGGAGTCAGGAAGTCTCATCTTTGTATCCAATCCAGCCTCACTTACTAGCTGTGTGACCCTGGGCAAGTCATTTAATTGTGTTTGCTTCAAACTATTCATCTGTAAAACAAGCTGGAGAAGGAAACGGCAAACCACAAAGAGTTAGACATGCCTGAATGAAGGACAACAAAATTGTCTACTCTGTGGCAAGCACTGGAGACATAAAGACAGTAACATAAACACAGTCTCTCTTTAAGGAGTTTTCATTTTACTTGGGAGAAACACAATACAAAAAAAATTAGGTAAATACAAACTTGAGTGCCCTAATAAGTAGAGGCAATCCTCTACAAACCCAGTAAATCCTTATTTGGGAAAATATGCCTTCTTTTCCCTCCCTCCCCCAGACAAAAGCTAGGCACACAATTGCCTCTTGGCTTCCTTATCCTGCCCCAGAGTATCTGGATGAATAGGATGAGGCTGGGAAGGGCAAGGATCTATATCTCTCATATATATTCCACGAATCAGAGCCACACTAAGGCTAGCAAGTTTTTTGTTTGAAATTAAAATTGCTCCTTTGAGGATTACTCATTCACTTTCTATGGGATATTTCAATCACATAACCAGATTGTCTAGCCTCACCTAAGACGTGTGAGAATGAGGTTTTTGATTGGGAATTGGCAGATAATTTTAGAGCTTGAGTCACTTGAGAGGGGCCAGACCTGGGACTGGTGCTTATGACAATGAGGGCTTTAGATAGCTGGATGCTATTAGATACCTGGTAGATGGACAAGAGATGACTCTAGGAACTATGATGGCATGCCAGGGTGGAGGGATGCCGGCCATACACAAAATTCATCTACTCTGTAATTTTTCCTAGATCCTGGGTAGTAGAAACCACTTTGGATGACCCTAAAAATTATCTCAATGCTACTGTTGGCATACTGCCATAATATGCTGAAGCTTGGTAATGGTATTAATAGCAAAAAAGGAGTGCTGTCAAGTCAACATGTATTTATCAAGCCTAGACATTATGTGCTCTGAACTGAGATAACAGGAAATAATAATTTGTAAAGGAAATGTTATTTTTTCAATTCTGTCACCCCTGAATAATGGCTAAGAAGTAAAACTCAATGGCTTGCTCTTACATGGACTCCTGAGTGATCCTCAGTGTTCATTTGAGCTCTCTGTGCAGCTTACATACAGAGGTTTGAAGTAAATACAGTTATGTCTATTCAATAACACCAATAATAATAATGGCTAGCATTTATATAGCATTTTACATATGTTAATGCATTGATCCTCTCAACAGCCATAGGAGGTAGGTACCATTATTTTCCCTATTTTACAGATAAGAAAGCTGAGACATAGAAAGGTTGACCCACTCAGGGTCACACAGCTGGTTAATGTCTGAGGCAGGATTTGAACTTGGAACTTAGGTCTTAACTCCAAGACCCATACTCAGTCCAATGCACTACATGATTCCTTCTATATGTATTTATTTTAGTTTTTGTTTTAATTATCAACTTATTGTTCACTAGAAAAAGAATAAAAACATCAATAAAGTTAATATTGTAGACTACATAAAATGTTTGTGATTCCTATCATACTCTGACTCTCTTTCCATCACTTTGATATTATTACTAAGGAAGAAGTCAGGGTCCCTATACCCATAAAACTGAGCACCATTTTGGATTTTTATCTAGTTCATGGAGCCAAATAATCCATCACCAAATGGCCAACCTATTGCTGATGAGTTTGTCCACACCCAGCTAAGCAGCATTTCAGACAACAGACATCATCTATTTTGCAGATGCCAAAGCTTTTACAATCTGGTAGAACATGCTAAAGGTTGTATTCTACTAGCACAGCCTTTGAGAGCCCAGGGTCATTTCCATGCCATTACAATAAGACATCAGTATAGGACTTTGTGGAGAATACCATATATAGATAACCTTTAACCAACAGCTCCTAGGAAAAAGTGAGCAAACTAATCTGAATGGGTAAAGCTGACTGGCAGAGCAGTAGCTGGGTGTGAAATAAAAAAAAAAAGAAGTATAAATATTGATCACAGTGTTAGGGATAGAAAAGACCTTAGAAACCACCTAGTCTAATGCTATTGTTTTACAGATATAGAAACTGTTGTGAGACTTTAAGTAACTTAAAATTGTGAACCCAGGTTCCCAAGGTTACTTGGACAGAGCCCAAACTAGAAGTCAAGTCTAATGACTCTCACCTAGCCCATGCTCTTTCCATCTTGGAACCTTCCTGTATGAATATATACATGTCAGTTGAATGTCATTCAATATACCCTATAGTTCAATTTAGTGTAAGGCTTTCATCTATGTTCCTTAAAGACCTAAAAGCTAGTGATCCTGCACTCATCACCCAACAGTGTGTTTTCATTGTGACTGAGCTTCCTGTATTTCCAGATCCTTTGCAGTTTTAACTTTTGACATCACTCTTCACCTGCCCTGCACAACTTGATCTGTCTCTCTAGTGCCAAATGTGGGTCAACTTGAGTTGTATTTTATTTCTGCTCCTGCTCATTCCCTTGGAGGTGCTCTCTATAGCTTCCTCCTCAGCTCCCTACTTCCTCTGCTTCATCTGCTGCTGACAACCCCACTCACACTAGCTTTCTGCAGTGAGTCCTGATCATAGGACCTCAGCTCTGACTTCGAGTCTTTAGTTTTTCACCTCCTGACTCTCATAGGCAGGGTTTTTGACAGTGCTGATACTAAAGTGACAGACAAGTCCAAGTGTGCTTGTCAGATATGAATCTAATCTGCATAATGACAACAGTAATATAAAGATCAACATAAAATATCTTGAAAGTTTATAATTATAGTTACCAAGATTGACTCAAGGAAGGATCAGAAAATACATCTTCCTCCCATTTTTTGCCGAGGTTGGAAACCACATGTCAGAATACTGAGTAGGTATACACCCTGGATTTGTTATTTCATTGGTGTAGGGAATGGCTGAATAAGGAAACTCCCACTACTATTGTATATTGGCCCCTTCTCTACACTTTACCAACTCAGAGGCTTACCCAGAGTGCAAATAGCTTTGGTGACTTGCCTAGGATTTCACAGCCAGGATAGGCCAGGGGTGAGACTTGAATCTAAAAGTCTCTATGCATTATTCCATCTACTGCCTCTCTACACTGTGTATACTGTCAGAAATAATTGGTATGTTGATTGATTTTGCTGATCTGCCAGGTCCCTGGATACCAGAAACTGATACTTCAAGGATGATGGAAATTATTTACAATATTGTATAATTACTATATTGGCCATAAAGAAACCATTTTATATCTAAGAACCTTGTAGTGATATTTAAATATTTTTAAAATTGTGAATTCTATCTTCCTCCCTTCTTTGCTAGGTGGGGGATTTTGAGTGCAAAACATTGAATATATGATCACACATAACTCGTGTGGGTTAGTCTTGCTAAATTGCTTTTTTTCTCTTTTCTTTTAAATTCTTTGTTATAAGGAATGGCTTTCTGAGGAGGCAGAAAAGGGGAAGAGAGATGTGTTTGGAAATGAAGGTAATTTAAAAACAACAGATAGTAATCTAAATTAATTTAAAAAAAGAAATCTGTTGTTACTGGAAAAAATATTTCCACTGAGTTCATACGAGGTAACTACTGCAGAATAACACGATCACAACACAGAGATTGCAGAGGTTAAAACCTAGGTGTAGTCATGTTTAAGAACAGATTCCAGGCTTGGAAAAAGAACTTCAAACCTTGATTAGGGTGAAATGGATGGGCCGAGAGTAACCAGACACACGCCAAATTAGAAAATAGAGAGCATTTACTGGAGCCAGCCGGCGACTGTCCCCTGGATGCAATCCTAGGAGAGCAGTCCCAAGCAAGGGAAATAACAAAACTTTATACCCAGCAATTTACAATTGTGGATTAGCGATCCTTTGAGGTAGGAGAGTTTACAATTGTGGATTAGCGATCCTTTGAAGTAGAAACTGAGGAGGTTAGGCTAGGGGGTTGTTTTTGTGACAACTCAGTCCACCTCACTCCCCCCTTTTCACGGACGAAAAGAGTCAGACGGGGGACTCATCAGAGTCCAGAGGAGCATAGGATTGACGCAGGACAAACAACTGGAGTGCTTGCACTCGTTTCTGGACATAGCAGGTTATGCATTTTATGAAACAAGGGGCCACGAGTAACCCAAGGAGGAGAAGGGCCAGAGGGCCCACCACTCCGGAGAGTAGGGTGGTTAGCCAGGGGGACCAATTATACAGGGTCTGATACCAAGAAGACCCCGTTGCCCGTGCGCGGTCCCTCTCATCTAACCGCTGCCTAAAGGCTTGCAAGGACTCCCGAATAACTCCAGACCGATTGGCGTAGAAACAGCAGGTTTCTCCCAACGCCATGCATAAGCCTCCCTGTTTGAGGAACAGTAGGTCCAAGCCTCGGCGGTTCTGGAGAACCACCTCAGCCAAGGAGTCTAGAGAAGTTTCAAGGTGTGAGACTAGCTCTTCCAAGGAGCGTAGGTCCTTGTCTACCTGTGCACTCAAGGCACCATAGTTGGCTTTCCCCTGTATCAGGGCTGAGGCCCCAACAGCAGCGGAGCCGGCCACTCCGAGTCCCACCAATATGGGAACCAAGATAGGTGCAGCCCTCCTGGAGCGAGTTAGGCCAAAATGCTCAGCTGCCCCTTCCTCTGAGTAGACATATACCTGAGGAAAGACACACACCACTACACAGAGCTCGGTCGGGTTGAGGAAATGAATGCCCTGCATGCAGGTTGTGAGTCCTCTGGTACAAGCAAACCATACTCCAGGTGGGGCGGTTAACAGGAGGTCAGAGCTTTTGGATGTGGGGGAAATAAGAATGGCTGAAGTGCACGTAGCGTTGAACGGGGAGGACCGCAGCGGGTAGTCAGGCCCGAGCAAACACATCCCTTTGCCCTGGACATCGTCTAGGGTAAGTCTAGGCTTGTCTGGGTTACAGCGGGCAGGTATGGCAGAGGGTTGTTTGGACTTACTTAAAGATAACTTTCCCACAGAGGTGATGTTAAGTTCGATAGCAATTCCTACGAAATGGGGGGGGCTGGATTCAGACACAGCCAACAGGAGGTGGTTATGTTTGGATCAGACAAATTTAGGAATGAGTGGACAGCAGAGAGTGTATCAAAAATGGGGGAACCTAGGTTAGTGAGGGTCTCTGGATTTTCGGGAGCCTCTGGTACCAGGTCCCTAACAGATGGTGGGGCGAGAGTCAACATGGCTTGTGGGTTAAGGATGGGATTCGGACCTATTGGGAGTGTATGGGTGGGAACTGCGATTTTCTGAATGGTAAAAAGGACCCCATTATCCCACCCAGTCATATATAACCTCAAACCCCAAGAATGCCCGAGATTCCAAGAGTCATCAGTGTCCTGCTTGACTGTTAGAATCATAGGGTTACATTTCCCAGGCCAGCAGGAGGCGGGGAGGGGGCTTTGTCTCTCCAGGGTGATTAGGGGGTCCCGGCCGCCCCTAGGAATCCACCTGGCCACAGTCTCACAACCCCATTCTGCGCAGTGAAAGTGATTACTACCCTGACAGGAAGGATTCCCCATGGCCGGACAAACATAGAATTCAATACTTCTGATTCTCACTTCCCCTGCCCCGGGTGTGGTTGGAGTGGTGGGAATAGTGGGGCAGTATCCCCATCCCCCAGCGATAGAGTCCCGCATAGCCCGGTTTTGATTCCATCCTGGTCCCAAGAGGGCACAGAGGTCAAACTTGAAAGTGGGGGCTCCGTAACTGGTGAGAGCTTGGACGGTGGTCCCATCGTTAGTTCGGGAGAGAATCCACCTGGATGGGGTAGGGCTATAGGGGTCACCCAAAGTCATCTCACAAGCAAAAAGAAAGAGAAGAAGAATCAAGTTCTGGAGAGTCGAAGCTTTAGGTTGGACACTGCTTCTGCTGTCCAAGCGGTGGAGTTGGGCTCTGGGGCCTTCTTGATGTGTGACCGATGTATCCATGCCTTGCGGCCGGCAACCTTGACGGCAGAGGGGTTGCAGAGGATAATTTGATACGGGCCCGTCCACCGTGGTTCCAGGGCTGGTCCAGCTGGAAGCTTGCGAGTGAGGACCCAGTCTCCCGGTGACAGGGCGTCTGATGAAGTTGCAGGGGCTGGTTCTTTCCCCGCAGCTTTCAGGACCGAGCGCACAGCGTTCTGGACCTCACGCAAAGCCTGGAAGGACTTAAGAAGAGTCAGATTAGTGAAATCTGGGGCTGGAATAGCTGCAGATACTCTTGGAATAATAGGAGGAGGGGCTCCATAGAGGATCTCATATGGAGATAAAGAGAGGGTTGAGGAATTGGGAGTACACCGGGCCCGGAGGAGGGCGAAGGGAAGGAGACTGACCCAGCTATCGCCAGTTTCTATTTTAAGTTTAGCAATGTGCTCCTTTAGAGTTCTATTCATCCTCTCTACCTGCCCTGAACTTTGAGGCCTATATGCACAGTGCAATTTCCATTTCAATCCCAGCATCTTTGATAGGCTTTGAATTGTTGCAGATACAAATGCTGGGCCGTTGTCAGAGCCTATCGAGGCCGGCAGGCCAAATCTAGGAATAAGTTCAAGGAACAGCTTTTTGACCACTACGGTTGCAGTTTCAGTTTTGACTGGAAATGCTTCCGGCCATCCAGAAAATGTGTCCACGAATACAAGGAGAAAAAGGTACCCTCCCAACCCAGCTCCCATGTCAGTAAAGTCTACTTCCCAATGGTCGCCAGGAAATGTTCCTCGTGGTCTATCAGTCGGTATCCTTGATTGTGATCGTGGGTTGACTTTGGCACATGCAAGGCATCTTCTTGCGGCTTCCTCGGCCGCCTGCTTCATCCCAGGGCTGTAGAAGTGTCGGCTCACCAGGTCGTAAAGCCGGGTTCCGCCTAAGTGGGTAAGGCTATGAAGAGTCATCAACAGGGGTAGCAACAGTGCCTTGGGCAGAATTAGCAAGCCATTTGGGTGTCTTCTCCATCCCCCCTTTTCAGGGGTGCCATCCGGATCACTGGATTGATAAGACGGTTGGACAGGCAGCGTTCCCTCAGGTTCCACGACCATAGCGGGTATCAAGGGCTTGCAGGCAGCCGCTCGGGCAGCCCTATCCGCTGCCGCGTTCCCTAGAGACGGGGGGTCAGTTCCACGGGTGTGAGCAGGAACATGAATTACCACCACCTCCTTGGGAAGCCAGACAGCATCCAGTAGTTCCTGGATCTGACTCTTGTTCCTAATCTCCTTACCCGCCGAGGTTAACAGTCCCCGTTGGACATATACATATCCATGGACATGAACAGTGGCAAAGGCATAGCGGCTATCTGTGTAAATATTTACTCGCCTCCCTGCAGAGAGTCTAAGGGCTTGAGTTAAGGCAATGAGTTCAGCACGTTGAGCAGATGTGCCGGGGGGTAGAGTGGTCTCCCAGAGGGTCTCAACCGGAGTGACCACGGCTGCACCCGCCCTACGGATCCCCTCCTGAACAAAACTGCTGCCGTCCGTGAAGAGCACTAGGTCTGGGTTTGTTAAAGGAACATCAGTAAGTCCAGGGCGGGACGTGTGGATGGAGTCCAGTGTGTCCAGGCAATCATGTATAGGGGAGGAAGGAGGGGAGTCAGGGAGCAGGGTGGCCGGGTTGAGTGTGACTGGAGGAGCGAAGGTGATGCACGCGGGATCGAGGAGTAAGGATTGGTAATGAGTCAGGTGTGAATTTGAGATCCATCTTGTCGGCGGGGAATGTAAAAGCTGTTCCAGATGATGTGATGCTGAAATCTCAAGAGGCTGCCCGAAAGTGAGCTTAGCGGCTTCCCTAACCAAGACGGCAACGGCCGCCACAGTTCGCAGGCAAGAGGGCCACCCGGAAGCCACAGGGTCCAGCTGCTTGGAGAGATAGGCAACAGGACGATTCCAGGGCCCCAGGGGCTGGGTCAGAACCCCTTTGGCCACAGCTCGAGACTCAGACACATAGAGGCGGAAGGGCTTGGACAGGTCTGGCAGGGAGAGGGCAGGCGTGCTGGACAGCGCCTTTTGGAGCTTGTCCAATGCTTCCTGCTGCCGTGGTCCCCAAACAAATTGGGTGGGTTCACCAGTTAGGGCCTCATATAGGGGTTTGGCAACCTCGGCAAACCCCAAGATCCAGAGGCGACAGTATCCAGCCATCCCCAGGAATTCCCGGAGCCCGCGGCGGTCCCTCGGGGCGGGCATGCCCAAAATGGCAGCTACACGCCCCCGAGACAGTAACCTTTGACCGGAATGAAGGGTGAAATCCAAGTAAACAACGGATTGAGAGCACAGTTGTGCTTTCTTTCCAGAGATACGATAGCCGGAAGCTTCAAGCAACTGGAGAAGGTGGAGAGTTGCATCTTTGCATATTGCCTCAGAGGAAGTAGCTAACAAAAGGTCATCAACATACTGGAGGAGAGTGACCTCCGGATATGAGACCCGGAAGGCGGCCAAGTCGGAGGCCAGAGCTGAGCCAAAAAGTGTAGGGGAGTTCTTAAAACCTTGGGGAAGCCGGGTCCAGGTGAGCTGAGAGGATGTCCCAGTGTTAGGATCTGTCCAAGTAAAAGCGAATATAGGTTGGCTTACTGGTGCCAAGGGAATGGAAAAGAAAGCGTCCTTCAGGTCCAAAACAGTATACCAAGTCCGAGCAGGGTCCAGGGAAGACAGCAACGTGTACGGGTTTGGTACAGTAGGATGTACAGTTTCCACCCGGGCGTTGACTTCTCGTAGATCCTGGACAGGACGGAAGTCTCCAGACCCGGGCTTGCGAACTGGAAGTAGGGGGGTGTTCCACGAGCTCTGGCAGGGTCGTAGAATGCCTGCCGCCAAGAGTCGATCGATGTGAGGCTTGATGCCCAAAAGGGCAGCTTGAGTCAACGGGTATTGTTGGACACGCGCAGGGGTTGCTGTGGACGAGAGCTGGACCACCACTGGGGGCTGGTGTCCTGCTAGACCAAATGGGTTGGTCTCAGCCCAGATCCCAGGAACCAAGCCTTTGAAATGGTTCAACAGAGTTAGGGAAGTAGGGGTGGAGGTGGTCGAGGGGTGGTCTGGGGAAAACGTTAGGGGGAGGAGGCGAGACTCCTCCGACAACGGGCAGGTGAGAACAAGTTGTGGCAGGTTGAACCCGAGAGTGGGGTTAGGTCCCTTAAAGGAAATGATAGCCTGAAGTTTGTGCAGGAGATCTCTGCCAAGCAAGGGGTAAGGGCAATCGGGCATTACTAGAAATGAATGAGAAACTAGGCCCTTCCCTAACCGGACTTCCCGAGAAGTGGTGAGGGGTACAGACTGTTTTCGTCCAGTAGCTCCCTGGACCTGCACAGTGGATGATGAGAGGGAGCCCAGTGGGGATTTCAGGACCGATGCCGCAGCTCCAGAGTCGACTAGGAATGAGACAGGTTGACCCCCAACACTGAGAGTAACCCTCGGCTCCAGGGGGTCAAGAGTCACAACGGACTTTGAGCCGGGGCACCCCTAGTCTGTATTCAAAGTCAATAAAGGCTCTGCCTTCCCTTTCAGCCCGCGATTAGGGCACTCAGATTTCCAATGGCCCATGGCTTTGCAGTAAGCACACTGGTCCCGAGCTAAAGGAGGCCTTCCCAAGCCTTTACCCTTATAGGGGCGCCCAGCGTTTGGCCCCTCCCGCCTTCCTTTCCACCCTTGCTTCTGAGCCTCCCCTGGAACCTGTGCTAAAGCTGCCACTACCGCCCTTGCGACCGTGCGAGTTTGCTTGTCTTGAGTCTCTTCACGATAGTCAAACACCCGCTTGGCCATTTCCATGAGTTCAGTCAGATTTTTACCCTCAAAACCTTCAAGTTTCTGTAGCTTCCGACGGATGTCCGGAGCTGAATTGGCTACGAAATCAATTACGATGGCTCTCCAGTTATTGGGATCCTCTGGGTCGATAGGGGTGTAGGTTCGATATGCCTCGTAGAGGCGCTCCAAGTATGCAGCTGGGGACTCGTTCCTGCCCTGTCTAACCTCACTGACTTTGGACATATTGGTTGGCTTCCGTGCTGCTGCCCGTAACCCTCCCAGCAACAACTGGTGATACCTGTCCAGCGCTTCCCTACCGCGATCAGTGTTGGGGTCCCAGTCGGGCCGGTTCTCAGGGAAGATGTGGTTGCGGCGCCCTGGGTCAGTAGAGGGATGTCCATTTGGGTCCAGAACTCCCTTCCTGGCTTCTAAAAGAATCCTGTCACGCTCCTCGGTTGTGAAAAGAACCCGGAGGAGCTGCTGGCAGTCATCCCAGGTGGGCTGATGAGTATAAAAGACAGTCTCTAGGAGGGTGATTAGGCTCTGGGGCTTATCAGAGAAGGATGGGTTTTGCTGTTTCCAATTGTACAAATCACTGGTGGAGAAGGGAACATATACCATGAACGGTCTCCCTGATTCTCCGGGAGGGGAAGGAACTTGCCGCAGGGGAAACGCTGACACAGTGGAATCTGGGGTCAAACTGGAATTAGAAGGGCCATAAGGAGCACCTGCTCGAGTATGGGGTGGACTTATCAGAGGAGGAGCTGAGGGGCTCGGAGACCCTGAGGTTGGGTACAGGGGTGGATCTGAAACCTGGGACTGGGAGTACTCAGCTGGATCTAGGGGGTCAGAATCAGGGGGTGGTAAGACAGGAGAAAGCTGTGTGACGACCTTAGGACTTTCGGGAGGCTTGCGGCTAAAGGTCGTCTTTGATTCCGTTCCTGGTCTTAGTTTTGAAAGGGCCTGGACCTGTAGTGGTCCCGAAGGGGGTTTGAAATCAATCCAGGCGGTGATATAGGGGACCTGATCGGGGTGGCCAGGTATACCATAGACAATTCCCCTTACCCGGCCGGCCACCGAGACGTCAAACGT